GGAGAAAGGCGGGTTGGGAAGCACGATGCTCCAGACCAGGGGCGGGGTTGACTCCAGCAGCCGCGGAGGCATCCGATTTCTAGAAACCCCACTCCCTTGCAGCAATAACCTGATATTAAAGCAACTGCTCCTGACTGCTCCCACCGCCTGTGAAACTGCCTCTTGCATCAATCAGAGAGCAAGAGGAGCGTTAGCATGGGCTTTGAGGGTGACCAGAAGGTAGGGGATTGCTGAAGCAGTGTTCTCTGCTTGGGCAGACAGCCTGGGGGGAAACAGGAGCAAGCTGAACACGTGGGGCAGAGCTGGCCCAAAAGGGCTGAGGAGCTAAGTAGGCACCTAACTCTTAACACTGGATCCCCCCCTGCTTGGTCACCCACGTCAGGTGTTCAAATAACCTGACTTTTGGGGAGACAACACCCAAATCTAGCTGTGCACAGGAGCAGCTATAAAACCCATCACGTGTAAAATCCATCAGCTTCAGCAAACAGGGGTTTCGGGTGAGAGAGCACACATCCAAGCCCAACACACCGACTACTCCAGTTTGAGGGCTCCCAGCCATTATTGAGTTTGTAACACTTTTTAAAGTAAACACACACACACATATACGCCTTTCCGCATAGAGCTGAGCAGCCTCAGCTACTTTCTAAATTTTGCACAGGAAGAAGCGCCGTTGCTTTGCCAGTCTTTTGTACAAAACCACTTACCGTGAAGCACACGACGCAGAAGCAATTCTGTGTTGAGCCCGAGGAAGCTCAAACCCACGTGCCCTGCTTCCCAACCATACTACAGATGACACAAGGATGACATAAAGCAGGAGGGAACAAAATAAACCAAAAAAGATTTGGTATTCAAGGTTATAAGCTGCTCCAGAAACTTGTAGCTCAAAGATGATGGGATAGCACGCATGCCTGTGGTGGAACAGGCTAAGATGAGAAAAAAAATCACAGAAGGACAGTAAGAAAAAAAAGTTGTGGTTTCATAAGGCTTCTGCTGAAAGCTGCCCAGAGCAGCACAGGTAAGTGATACGTTTCCTTCTGGAAATGTTTTATCTTTCTTTTCTTTTTTAATTTATTAACTGCAAGAGGACCAAAATCTTTCTTCATATCATGGCGCAACAAATTTCTTCGAACAGTTAATGAACCAGCACAAGGTGATGCTATTTAGCCCTCATTTCTGTACATCCATAATGAGAACAAATGAAAGGTTGTAGAAATTAACCTTAGACCGCACTAGCGTTAAGAGACTCAGAGTTCAAAAAAAAAAAATAAAAAAGAATAAGCAAAATTAGATCTGAAGACAAGTCATCAGGTTGTTCTTCTGAAACTCAAGACCAAAAGGAACTGGTTCATGGAGGATTTAACTGCAGACAGCAGTAGCAGGCATTCTCCAGGAGTCAAAAGGTGTTTTCATTATCAAGAATAAATCCCAAACAAGAACAGAAGAAACTCCAACAGAACACGTGCCTTCTCTGGGAAGGCTACAAGAAGGAGGCACAGGTTTAAAGTCACCAGGTCACATCACTTGGAAAGTTGTATCTTAGAGGTCAAAAAGTCTAGGAATAAACATGAGAACTGGTGCAGTGTTAAGTCCCTGCAAAGATATTTAAAATAAAGAACTAGTAAAAAGGTTGTTCAGTTTGTGGGAAAGGACAGGGGGAGAAACAGGGCTGCAAGCAAGGTCAGGGCAGAGATTACGAGTACTCTAGCTACAGCACAAAATACTCAATTTGACTTTGCATCGTTTTTACAGAGGTGTGATAAGGGTGATCATGAGGGCAAAAGCCCAGGGGTTAATCTGAACAAGAACATTGTCAGAGGGAGGATTAAAAAGCTTCATGAAAATTGCAAGGAGTAGCTCATCTCAGTTTTAGAATCCAAAACAGATAGGCTCACAAACTGCAGGCCAAGAAGCAAGATTTATAAACCTCTTGAAAGGCAACAATATGAGTTAATAAAACATGTGGCACACTGGAGGTGCCACTGCAGGGGAGAAAGAGAAAGGAGAGAAATTGCAGAATCTCCAGGCCAAGTTTCAGTAAAGCAAAGAGGATTAAGGGGACACAGAAAAAAAAGGGGAAAGAGGGAATAGTTCAATATGCCAGGCTAACCCAAATGTTCTCAAAAAAAGTGATCTTTCTAGACAAATGTACTGCATCTTACATGGACTTCAGGAGGCACAAGGAGATTTACTGGTTAAGGCAGGTTGGCAGAAGAACAGGAAAACAGACAAAGGAGCTGGCTTAGCTGCAGACAGCCCCAGGTGATGCTGAATGAGAAAATACCAGCCTGGAAACCAAAGACAAGCCTCAAGGATCAGTCTTGGGAACATCTGATTTTGTTGGGAGTGACCTCAGCACAAGTACCAAGCACTGGGTGACAGATACGGAGGAGAGTTTGGAAATACGGTGATAGTGATGCACCAGAAGGCTGAACGCTAAGTTTGGGAGGTAACCAAGAAAGGCGCGTTGGCCACCACTGGCCAGCGGAGGTGATTCTGGCAGAAAGCCCTCCTGCCAGATCTGCTCTGGAACACAGCATACGCTTTGTGACATGACTCAGAGGAGATTCATCCCCGCTGCGAACAATGACTACACTTGTTATTGAAGAAACCACTAGATAACACTTGGGTTATTTAGCACCGTAAAGCCACAGGTGAGGGTTCGCAACTGGATTTTACAGAACACAGCAAAAGAGGTAAAACACAGAAAATAAGAAGAGGTCCTTATGCAAAAAAAAAAAAAACCAAACACAACCTCAAACAAGTATATAAGCTGGCATGAATGTTCAGTCTGGGAATGAAAAGGAGGTTCCTAATCATACAGCTAGATCCATCATCTTCAGTAATGGTTTAACCTACAGGAGGAGAGATGAAAAGATGTAATTCGTTTTAGGCTTAAGTTTACAGGGGGGATTCTGCGATACTGCTTGGGAAAGCAAGGAGCTGGGTGACCGAGGAAAGCCTTTCCAGCACTGAATTACTGTGAGACTAACACAGCAAGTATATGCTGTCTACACAACCACAAAGAACAAAAGTTAAAGTCTGCTTTAAACCCAAACAGCTTTTGGAAATGAAAAAGCTGTCTCTCCTCCTCCAGACTGAGGTAGCTGAAGAGTCTTGGTTTCAGAAAAAGAAAAAAGAAAAAAAAAAATACATATACTTTCAAGTAGCTTAAACTCAAGCAAACTCGCATGTTCTTGCATTTGCATAAGGACAAGTTGTTCCGTACAGTGTTCCTATAACGAGACGCAGTGAGAGGCGTTCACTTAATTGTCACATAAGCACAAGTGTTTGAAATCAGTCGTGCATTCTTCTTAGTAAGAGACACAGGAAAGTGAGCAATACCAAAATCTGAGCTTAAACTAATCTAATTACTTCATAGTAAGACAAACCACAACGATTGCCAGTATTTCCACTCGCTTTAAGCTGACTGCGTGTTTTAAAGCCTACTATGACAAGTCATTTTCAATTAAGTTTTAATTCAAAGCTATGTTCCCAATTAATTTACAGCTGTTCCTAAAAAAAAAACTCAAAAATATTTCTCCAAGTACAGTACCAGCTGCAGTGAAACTGCAGTTGTCAATATCAAATAAAAATGTCAAAGAACATTTCTACCCTTAAGCCGTTACAACATTTCACTTAAACACTTTCTGAAAGTAAGAATTTAGACCAAACATTTGGGTGACATGCAAGACAACAGGACAGTAAGGAGGAGACTAAATCAGTTCTCAATCCTGAACTACAGGCAGACCAGCCAGCCTGTTCATACCGTTTGACTTGATGGAAGGTGGAGGATGTGGAATTCAGCGGTTCCCTGTGGAGGCCAGCTCTGCAGGAACTCTTCATCATAACTACCTCTCCAGCTAAGGCACGCCGTCACAGCCAGTCCATCCTGGGCTACGCACTGCGCTCCCCCATCGGCTCTCCTTGCCCCACACAGAGCTTCACCGTGTCTCTGCCACCTAGAAACTGAACAAACAACATAAGAAGATCACGTCTGAGTGCAGCAGTGAAGCACAGATGATCAGGACAAGG